GACCCCCAGATTGCGAGTCGAGCGCCCTAACCACCTGGCCATGCCGGGCTCACCCAACAATAGTTAATGTCCTCCGGTAGGACAGCGGTAAGTCTGCGGATTTACAACGTCAAAATCAGCGGTTCGATTCCCCTTGGTGGAACCAGCAGATAACCCGATGTGGCTTTACTATTAAAACAAACAACAGTTAAATTATTATACTTGTCATAAGATATTGTGTTAAGCCTATTATCGAACGAAACGCGTCGTCGGCAGTGAATATGACGAATATAGTACGTTTGAAATACTCTTATTATACACTCTTCTGATCCTTAAAAAATCCCTAAGAGGCTAGATTAAGAATGTAGTGTTAAAAATAATAGGCCTAACATAATGCCATAATTAATAAGTATAATTAATTGGAATCGTGTTTCGCCAGCTTATAAAAGGCGTTCATAACAATAGGTACCCTTGTTAGGTTTTGTTTTTGATAAAGAAAACTTCTCTAATTTTTCTATTATTTTGTATGTGAATTCTTTTAACATCTCAAAAATCGAAGGCGTGATTTTGTTGAAATATATGAGATGGCGCTTTCAAATGTTCTTTCAATCTTCTTGAAAGCAGTCGCTTAGTTTCTGTGATGGAAGTACCATCACAACCTTTACATTCAATTTGATACATTAATCCTGATGCTAATTCGCTAGTTAGAAGCTGTCCTAATTTTGTCACACTCTTTAGCAGTTTTAGACCACGTTTTTTTGGATAACATGTGATAATTTGAGGACATTTGTTTGTTATTAAACGCAAGGCTAAATAATGGGTTATCTGTGCTTGCCCACATGGGCCTAGCACGGGTATCGATACCCAGTGTTTTGTGGCGTCAAATCTTAGACTTGCCGCTGAGCCAATGGAGTCATTTAGGGATGTACGGAAGCACATCCTAATAATAATAATAAAATAATAAAAAGAATTCCTAATGTTTGTAGGCCCGGAATGGCCAGGTGGATAAGGCGCTCGACTCACAATCTGAGGGTCGCGGGTTCGAATCCGCATCCCAACAAACATGCTCGCCTTTTCAGCCGTGGGGGCGTTATAATGTGACGGTCAATCCCACTATTCGTTGGTAAAAGAGTAGCCCAAGAGTTGGCGGTGGGTGGTGATGACTAGCTGCCTTCCCTCTAGTCTTACACTGCTAAATTAGGGATAGCTAGCGCAGATAGCCCTCGTGTAGCTTTGCGCGAAATTCCAAAAAAAACAAAAACAAACCTAATGTTTAGGGATGTACGGAAGCACATCCTAAAAATAATAAAAATAATAAAATAATAAAAAGAATTCCTAATGTTTGTTTCTTCGACCTACAACTCAATTCCTAGGGACGATAAAATTTCTATTTATCACTTTTATCAGCTATTTTGGGATACAACTTTGAGATTCTAAAACATTTTTTATTAGAGACTTTTGTTTATTTGTTTGTAGTTAAGCGCAAAACTATACAATGGGTTATTGTGCTGTGCCAACCATGGGTATCGACACCCAGTTTTAACGTTATGTGATTCCAAACTTACCGCTGAGCCATTGGGGTCGGGGTGGGCATGCTCAGTGAGAAAAGCCTGTTCAGAGGATCACATAGTTTTAATGAACCCTGAATTGGAATAAAAAAGTAATGTTATACGTGAACAGTGATAGCACTTAGCCTTAGATAATTATACTGTTATTTAGCCATGACTTAGCCGTAGATAATTTTCTATGACTCAGCCTTAGATAATTATACTATTATTTAGCCATGACTTAGCCGTAGATAATTTTCTATGACTCAGCCTTAGATAATTATACTATGACTTAGCCATGACTTAGCCGTACATAATTTACTATGACTTAGCCT